GGGTGGTGGGGGGGGGGGCCCGCCGTGAAAACCATTTGGCACGATTCCGGGGGGAAAAAAAGGGAGACTCAGCTGACCAATATCTCGCTTACAGCACCGGAATCCTCTACTTATTAAATCCCTGCATATGAAAGCTGACCACTCCCGGCGCACAGAATTCAGAGAGCCAGTTCATGTTAATAAGACTCGGTTGTGGGAAAATGTTTGTGAACCCTTCGGAACGTTCTGGATTTCTTCAATCTGTGTCCTTCGTCTTGGTCATAATAAGATGAGATGGTTACTTAACACTGAATATATTCCTGGTGCCTCAAAGCAAAAGGTGTGCAAAGTCTTATAGTAGCCACAGCCAGGGGGCCTAACTAGAAATCACAGGGGCCCCATAGCAAAATGTTGTATTGGGCCCCGTGATTTCTAGTTCTGCCCCTTGCAGAGCCCACCTGAGATCCCACACAGCCCACCTGAGAGGGATTTTGAAGAGCCCACCATAGACCCTGCAGGGTCTCAGGTGGGCTGGTCACAACCCTGCACACCTCTTACCTGTCAGCCTCGATCCGCTGTCAGCCCTCTCCACCGCTTCCTCGGTCGCCGGCTGGCCTCGCCTCCACCACCATCTCCGGGCCCCGCCTCCTCCTACGCTGCCGTTGCCGGGCCCCTGGCCTCCTCCACAGCAAGCTGCTGGCTGTGACTGACTCCGCAGCGGCTATGGGGAGAAACGTGCTGCTGCAAAGATCACTGACAGCTTTCAGTGATCTGGACAGAGGCGCGCTCCTCCTCACAGCCGCCAGTGACAGCCAGCAGCCTGAGCTACCATGGTGACCCAGGCGGCCCACACGGCATAAGGGGCACCCATTTTTCCCTCGTCCTGACCAGGTCCCCCTGTGCCCCGGGCCCCATATCGGCTGTCTGGGTCGCTATGGCGATAGTTCTGCCACTGTCCACAGCCTGAGTAGAAAAGCCTGTCCCCTGCCAGCATGGTGTAGAGAAGGACCCTTGCTCTCTGTGTGGAAGCAGTGGTCTCTCCACAGAGGTCGTACATGCTAACTGCTCATTGGGGAGCTCTTGCTCTGACTCGACAGGAAGTGTGTTCAACCACTACAGGGAGACCACTGCTTCTACACAGGGAGTCCTTCTCTGATCAGAGTAAGCATAGACAATTTTGATACAGTCGACAGTGGCCTAGTGGTTAGTGCCTATGCCTTGCAGCGCTAAGGGTCCCCAGTTGAAATCCCAGTCAGGACACTATGTACATGGAGTTTGCATGTTCCCCCCGTGCTTGCGTGGGTGTCCTCCGGGTACTCTGGTTTCCTCCCACACTCCAAAGACATGCTGGAAGGTTAATTGGCTCCTGTCTAAATAGGCCCTGTATGCATGTGAGATAGGGATCGTAAATTGTAAGCTCCTTGAGAGCAGGGACCGATGTGAATGTGCAACTATGTAAAGCGCTGCTGAACTACACAGTCAGAAGTTAGAGTCCAACAAATCTCTATTGAGGGCATGAACAGAGCGACTAACCTGTTGGTCATACACAGACGGACTGTCTAGCAGTCTACATAAGACTTCCTTCCCTGCGCGGCCCCGAAAGCGCTTGACACTACTTTAAGTGACTTCTGAAAAATAAAAATGAAGATTCACTGAACTTTGACGTGTTTGTCATATTGGTGTGCTGGTGACATCTCCTCACAACAATCTTTGTCTGACGCGGCGCCATCCGCGGTCACTGCGAGCACCCATTTACTTTGTGGGAAGTCCGGTAAGGTGTGCTACAGGTGTTTGGACATCCGCAGAGATCTGAGCCGCAGTGCTAAGTAATGGCCAGAAGTTGGTGGAAGTTGATCATTGAATGGTGTCACCGGCACAGGAAGTGAGGGCTGTTGAGTGGCTCTTGTGCTGCTTCTCTCTCTGAGCTCTGCTGTGCAGAGACTACAAGGTGATACTGAGTTACCCTGAAGGTACTTACACTGCTTGCATTTAAAAGAATACAATGTAACAATGAATTCATTTTTAATAAAGGCGTTTCCATTCATATTCCAGGGTACGATTTCTGCGCCGACGGACATCAGTGCGGAGAAAACTCGGAATGCCGGAACGGTATCACGAAAGCCACGTGCGAGTGTCGAAACGGCTTTGTGCCGGTGCTGGGCGACTCAACTTTTTTTTGTAATCTACTGGCCTGGTTAGTACAGGATCTCAGCTACAGACAACAGTGACCTTTGGACCACGTAGCAACCAGGTAGTGTCCCAAGATGGAGGCAGTTCTAATATCAATACAGTGGTTGTAATCCAGTACTGGCTGGTAGTAACTAGTGGCAACACTCTGATAATGGCAGCAGTATTGCAGCAGTTGTAATCCAGTAATGGCTGGTAGTAACTAATGGCAATAGGTTGATAATGGCAGCAGTAGTTAGTATAGCTCTATAGCTGGCTTCTCAGGACACAGTGATACAATGTAAAAGTCTGTACTTGCAGTTAGCGGATGCCAGTGGGTTTTGGCTGTGGAAGTCCTTGAACCAGTTGTCCCAATGTGGCCTCTGAGGGAGAGGGAGAGATGCCTGCCAAGTATTCTAGGGTTGTGAGGATCCTGACAGAGGATGTGGAGGGCAGAAGGTCGGCATCTACCTCGTGGCACGGACGCCGGGCGACTTAGCGTTCGCAGCTTAAACTGCTGAGGGGGCGGAGCCAGCGGGCGACGAGGGACTGCGCCGCTTGCGGACCGGAGATCGGGTAAGTATGTTACATCGTTCCGCAGCGGGCCGAGCTGTTAGGAGGCCGGTAGCCGAGTTGCTGTTGGATTGCGGTAAACGCTTTCTCCGAATGATTAGATACTAGATCTGTGCAGAAAATGACAGGGCTCTTCCGAGTCAAAATACAAATTGAATGTTGACCTATGGGGAACGCCGTGTAAGTTTCGTTGCACTTTTTGTTGTTGAAGCTGGATTGGAAACGACTTGCGTTTGTTTGGCCTCGGTGGGTCTAATAACATTGTTTATCGCCACGCCGCTGTAATTACTCAGCGCCGCGCACAGCAGGAGTGACCACCGGAAAAATAGTTCTCAAAGTATCCAGAGCAGGAGGCTGTCTGCCTCTACTTAAAGGCCATGTTAACCTAAAGTACAAGTTTTCCGTTATGTAAAAGAATTCTGGCCCTTTTGGTAACTATATGAAGGTTCTTAAATCTGTACAGAGATGAAGATCCATCCCTTAATTATTATAGACGGCTATAAACCGCAGCCTGGCGCTTCCAACCATTTCAACCATAGGCTCAGTAGAAGGCATCTTCTAGGTCCTCAGCACCATGGACGATGGTGCTCTGGTGGTAACATCGGACATTGTATCTTCAAATAATAACCTCTTCCATATTTTAGATATTTTTATATCACATGGGCTGCTAAAACCTTTACAAACAAGCCCAACAAATGTACTCACCAAGCAACCTATTAGAAACAATACACTAATACTAGGAAGGGTCTCCCGTTGCCCTCAACCTCAACTCTTCTTAGCATGGGTTGCACCTTCACAAACGTTCCTTTGAGATTCGGCTCCATGTTGACACGATTGCTTCACACAAAGTCTACACATTCACAGTGCCAATCTCCTGTTCTGCGGCATCCCAGAGGTGTTCTATTGGATTCAGATCCAGAGATTGGCCTCAGCAGAAATGAAGAGTCATCAGGCCCGGTCTACAGTTCTCCAGTCTTCATCTGTCCGGTTTTGGTGATGCTGTGCCACCTACTTTCTGTTCTTGGCTGACAGAAGTCGGACCTGAAGGGATAGTCCGTTGGCCTCCAGAAGGGTTCATTATGTTAGGTGCTAATGTACCCTTCAACATAAATGCTCTACAGAAGGTTATTCTTGGGTTGGTTGAGAAGTCACCAAAAGAGGGTTCAAGGTCAACATATGCCAGTGTTTAGAAATGTTATTCCTTATTTCCATATGGTCTCCATTAAATCTTGTAATGAAGCTGGGAAATGGAGTATAATTCTAATGCACATTGTGAGAAGCTCCCAGTGTGCAGTGAAATCAGAGGAAACAATTTCAGTCCAGGAGAGGAGCCGGTACAACTGTGCAAGACTGAAGGGAAGGCCGGAGTACAGATTTAAAGGAGACCTATGAGGGGAGTGATCTCCACTCATAGTTAGAGCTGACCTGTGACAAAGAAGCTGTCACAGGTCGGCTCTATTGATCGGGAAGTGAGCGAACGCATACAGTCGCTCACTCACTTTCTGATCATCTCCCTGCAGAGAGCGGCGACTGCCAGTCACCACTCCCTACAGGGATTCCGCCCTCCGATCCACTAGTGCTGACTGGAGGAACGGACGGGGGAGGGGGCGGGCACAGCTGGCTCTGCCTCTAGACAGGCAGAGCCAGCCGTCACTCACGCAGCTGGGTGGATCCAATATTGTTGGGATCCGTCCCGGCTGAGGCGCTCTCAGTATATCGCGGGCTATACTGAGCTTTGGGTTATTGGAGGAGGTTAGTATATGTCCCCCCCATGACCCTAAAGAGAACTATGGGGAAAAACACTTACCCCCATAGTTCTCTTTCAAGTATTGCTCCCACAATGCACTGTGAGCTTTGACAGCTGTGTTCTAGCATGATGTAGTAATGTGGGCAGACACAGTCAAGGTTTATCAAGACTTCTGGCCTCTGAGCTCGGTGTGGGACTATTGAAGTGCCAAAAGTCTGCTGTATGCAGGGCTTCTGCATACACAGGCAAGGTGCATTTTTGCGCCCCCCCCTTCCCGACCCCCTGTAAAAACAGGGCATTTTGACAAGTACTTGTACTTGTCAAAATGCCCCGATGTTTGCGCTATGGTTTTGTTTTTTTTCACTTACCTTTCGGTGCGGGAGAGCAGCGGCGAGTCAGCGCTGGTCCGGTGGGAGGAGCTCCAGGTGAGGTCCTAATTTAGCTGGCCCGGCGACTGCCAGAGGTGGCGCGCGTGTCGGGATCCTCTGGCAGTCGCCGACCAGCTAAATTAGGACCCCACCTGGAGCTCCTCCCACCGGACCAGCGCTGACTCGCCGCTGCTCTCCCGCACCGAAAGGTAAGTGAAAAAAACATAGCGCAAACATCGGGGCATTTTGACTAGTAACAAGCACTTGTCAAAATGCCCTGTTTTTTCCGCCCTCACCCTGCAGCGCCCTCAGGCGGCCGCCTGACTTGCCTTGCGGTATCGCCGGGCCTGGCTGTATGCATGTCCCTGCTGTATGAGAACACTAGATTGTAAACTTCTTCAGGTGACAGGGAATGATGTGGATGGATCTGTGCAATGCGTAAAGCACTCCATTATTTGCCATTGCTATGTAAAAACTGGAATGAAATAAGTTTGTAATGATTTTCTTCCAGCGCTTTGCACCTCATTCAGTTCCGGGATGCTAGATAGACACTTTGGGCTTTTGCTGAATCTGCTTTCCTATAGTTTGATATTATGTCTGTGCAGATTGTTCCGCCATTGTTATCTATTATTGTGTATACCTTGTGAAGTGTCTATAGAAATATAAATGGAAGCAGGCCATTGTGATGTCCCAGCAAGTTATCTATACAATGTAACAACTCTCATTCTGTTACCCGAGGTTCTCCTCTAACAATAACCAGGTCTGGATCAAGGACGCTGTTGCTTTTCACGCCTCCGACAGGGACTCATTTTGCATTCAATGTATATCAGTCCTTTGTTTTGAAATTGTCCAAAAGTACCGTTCTCCTGGCAACCGCCAAACCCAGACATGTCCATCGGATTGCCAGACAGAGAAGCGTGATTGGTCACTCCACAGAACACGTCTCCACTTCTCTAGAGTCCAGTGGCGGCGCGCTTTACACCACGGCATCCCACGCTTTGCATTGCACCCGGTGATGTAAGGCTTGGATGCAGCTGCTCGGCCATGGAAACCCATTCCATAAAGCTCTCTACGCACTGTTGTTGTGCCAATCTGAAGGCCGCATGGAGTTTGGAGGTCTGTAGCTATTGACTCTGCAGACAGTTGGCGACTTCTGCGCACTGTGCGCTTCAGCATGCGCTGACCCCGCTCTGTCATGTGACGTGGCCGACCACTTCCTGGCTGAGCTGCTGTTGTTCCCAGTTGCTTCCACTTTGTTATAATACCAGCAACAGGCGACAGCGGAATATTTAGTAGCCAGGAAATGTCACGGAACACCTGAATCCAATGATTTGGAGGGGGAGGGGCCCAATACTTTTGGCAATATAGTGTATTTTGCAGACACTCATCCCATCATACCAATACCCCATAAAGTTCAACAATCTACCCCCTTCCCCAAACTTGGAACTGTCCATCTTGGTGAATGACATAACTGACCTCGCAGTCTATGAACACAGTCTCTGTATAAGCGGTCACAGAGCTTTGGTGACGTTCGATATCCTTAAAAAACCCTTTTACATGATACTGTGTATACTTTCCCTATTAGCCGAGGTCCTACGTGTGCAATGAATGTCTCCTTCTGAGAAAATGAAGACGGAATCATTTTTTCCCCCCTAGCACTGACTGACTGCAAAACACACAATAGATTCACATGGGAATATGATTCATGATTGCTTTGCAGGAATAACAATTGGCTCTTATCAATGACAATTAATAGCTGGCAGCATTGAAGTTGAAGAGCGTCTTGAGGAACCTTCTGACTGCCTGAAGGTTGTGTGCCGGAGAAAACATCACGGCACTGTGTAGATACATATGGATACAATTAACCAACTGATGATTAGCACATATATGACTCTCATTGGGTACTAATACACATGTGGCTAGGGTAAAACCTCTAAGAGGGGGCTGTGCTAGGTAAAATAAACACTAAGGCATCAATTTATAAACCTTCCACCCAGCTATACCCTGAGCGAATGCAGTTCACACAGCATTTCCACCACTAGATGGGGCCAATAAGCACAGGGAACTTGGGATAGCTCTTGGTATAGCCGGGGACGGGTCCTAGCTTGCAGGTAACAATACAAATGTATCCATGTTTAGCAATATACTGTATGTTTTCAGATTCTTAAAGCTGAAGTGTAATCTGCCCCTTGTGTTGCTTTCCCTGGTCCCTCCCCTCCCCCCTCCTGAACATACTAATGCCACTTTAAAATAAATCCTTCCTATTTTCATTACACACCTTATTGTAGACCTTATGGCATGATCACTGGGTCTTTGTG